TATATATATATATATATATGTGTGTGTGTGTGTGTGTGTATGTATGTATGTATGTATATATATATATATATATATGTATATGTATATGTGTGTGTAAATTGTTTTTAAGCATCTAATCATTCACATCACTATTGAGATGCATCAAAAATAATTATACAAAAAAATGACACCAGTTGCATGTGACCTGGATAAATACACATTAAAGTCCATTTTTTGGAAAGTTCGTTTGCACAAGTATGAAAACGCCCTTAATGTAATGTGTGAAACATTAAAACATAATGGCCAGGTTGTGCAACCATATATATATAAAGGGACAGCTAACCTGGTGATTTTGTTCATATATATTTTCTTTATTCATAAAGACTTGATTGCATTGAAGTGTTTATAAATCACACCAACCTTTTTATATACACAGATACCACATGGATCCTTCAGGCACTTTTGTCCAGTGTGACGCGAGAGCAATCGGCTCAGCATCTGAAGGCGCTCAGAGCTCTCTTCAAGAGGTTTACCACAAGGTAAATACCAAGTGCTTATAAACATCTTAGTCTTTTATCTGCAGGTCATCATCAATTTTTGATCATTTTTGTATTTGCTTGATTTTTTTGTTATATATATATATATATAGCCGTGCGATATTCCGCAATATCAGAACTCCTAAAGCCTCTTTATCCTTTATGTATTACTCCGCCCACATACAGCCAGCAAAAAGCAGACACTACAGATCTAAAGTTTAAAAGATGCTTGTTCAACTGTTTAACCGTCAGCTTATGATTTGAACCCAATGTGGAAGAAAGTAGTTCCACATACAAAAGTGTTTTTGAAACTCTCCGTGTTTGATTTTGTTTTTATATACACAATTATGCCGTCAAACTGTTGTATAAACGCAATATCACACGAGTAGCAGTGCGATATGTCTGTATATCGGCACTGGTGGAAGACGTGCGATGGAACGAGGCCGCAGGGCGAGTGCATTAGTGCCCCCACCAGTGCTGATATACAGCCATATCGCACTGCTACTCGTGTAATATTGCTCATATATTTATATATATTATTAGCCCTTTTAAGCAATTTTTTTTCCATAGTCTACAGAACAAACCATTGGTATACAATAACTCGCCTACTTACCCTAAAGCAGGTCGCACACCAGAAGCGCCGCTCGGCGGCGTGCCGCGTAGCGCCACGCAGCGGCATGTATTTTAGAATTCTAAACATAGGTTTCTATCAGGATACACACACCGGCGCCGCAAGTCGGCGGCTGTCGGCGGCTCCTGGCGACGGCTCAGGACGCAGTTAATTTTTCAGCCGCGCCACAGAGCGCCATCTGATTAGTTTCATGTTAAATATCATTCGAATGTGTGCGTCTGGTGTGTGATACTTTAAACTGTCATGTATGCGCCGTGTCGCGGCACCGAGCGCGCTTCTGGTGTGCGACCTGCTTAACCTGCCTAGGTAACCTAATTCACCTAATTAAGCCTTTAAATGTCACTTTAAGCTGTATAGAAGTGTCTTGATAAATATCTAGTGAAATATTATCTACTGTCATAGTGGCCAGCAACCTGTCATACTGTCATTCCAGCCGCAATCCATTGCTTGGAAATACCCATAAACACTCATTCACACACATACACTACAGGCATTTTAGCTTACCTAATTCACTTATAGCGCATGTGGGGAAAACCGGAGCACCCGGAGGAAACTCATGTGAACACGGGGAGAAACATGCAAACTCCACACATAGATCCCAACCGGGGCTCGAACCAGCGACCTTCTTGCCGTGAGGCGATCGTGCTACCAATTGTCACTATGATGCCCTACTATAAAATTTAGTTTTTATATTAATTACAGTAATATTATTATATAATATGCAAATTTGTATGATTTATGTACAATTTAAGTTGTACTTTGTCTACCAAATTAGTTGTTCTAGTTGTATCTGTATTACAACGTTTAAATTAAAGTTAAAAAGTATTTTGTATTATTTAATGTGTTGAGCCTTTAGTTACTATACTCTCAAAGTTTTTCTGCCCAAGTCCACAATTTTTTATTTAATAATAGCAGAAAAATATAATAGCAAACAATATCCACAGATTTTCCCTGGCCCCACTTCTAGCTTATATATTTTATATTAGTTTGTGTTTGTTTCTGTACTGCATATTAAACATATGCATATTAAACAAAATCCATCAGATCCCCAATGTCACTGCTAGGTTATTTCCGGATGGTATTTTCACAGAGCAAAGTGTTTCTCCCGAGAGAACCCTACAGATCAAATTGGAGCCCTGTGCTCAGAAAATAAGAGTCCTTTTTTTAAATCCACCCCACCTATCTCCCCATTCCAGTATGTCATGCCTCTACTACTGTAACTTTGCCCATGTGACCCTGAAATCTAATAAGCAGGACGCACTGTCCAAGAGTCTTCTTCATAAATCTAATTGCTTCCAAGCAAAATTCCACAAGTTACACTATGGATGTTGCTTTTTCCTCCCGCTACACAAACGTCTTTGTCTTTTCCAGTCTATGACGTTAAAGGATGCCATTAAGTCTTCTCTCACTATCCTGAAACAAGTGATGGAGGAGAAACTCAATGCCACCAATATTGAGGTAACAATGCTCAAGCGATCACATGGTGTTGGTCATATGAAATATAATTTAATTTAAACATATTTCTAAGTCATGACTGTTTTCTTCTCTTTCCCTGCAGCTTGCCACTGTAGAGCCGGGCAAAACCTTTCACATGTACACAAAAGAAGAGCTGGAGGATGTCATCAAGGATATCTAAACGTGCTAAGCATAACAGATGTTCAATATGAAAAGTCCAGTGTAATTTTTGTGTGAATCATCACACAGCAGAATGGATACATAATACTCTGACTGCATTGTACGGTTTGCCTGTTCAGACGGGAATCGAATCTTTATACTTTTCTTTTTCCTTCTGTCAGTCCCAAAATTTCTATAGTTCTGTACAAGCACAGGACAGCAGATCTTGTCATTGAATTAAATGGGGGGGTTCTTTTTGTTACCAATCACTGCGTTAATAAACTGTTGTTGAAAATGGTGTTTCAATAATTCTTTTTCCTCTGAGTATCTCACTTATAGGCTGATAAAATTAAAAGCTAATTTAATTATAAAGATATATATGTAATGTCACTTGTTATGTGTCGATAACCATTTTCAGGGTATACCGCGGTTTGGAAAAGTCAAGGTTTTAAACTTGCCAAAATATTCTGCCAAAGTTTTTACATTTTGTTTTCAGTTTTTTTTAGGACGGCAGTATCTTTAACAGAAAAGATATCCAAAGATGCCATTTTAAACTAATGAAGGCCGCAGAAGTCAATGATTCATTTGAAATATTTCTCAAAATAAAATATCCTGTGTTCAAAGGGGAAAAAGTTCTTGTTTTTACCCAGACATTTAAAAAGGATCTGGTATAGAGCAGTGCTATGAAACCGCGATATTTTTATTCAAGGTCATCATACCAGCAGAATCTTATACTGACCCATGCCTAAATGCCACGCAATTGAGGTGGTATGAACTCCAATGAATTTGTATGTTTAGCAAAATAGAAATATATATTCTTTTATTTAAAAAAAATGTATTTAATATTTTATTTATTTATGCTTTACTGCCATGTAGACATGGGCCGGTACAAGATTCTGACTGTATGATAACCATGCATAAAAAATGTCATGGTATTGTGATTACAGCTCTAATATAAGTTCTTTTTAAATGTCTATAGGAAAAAACAGGGCGTGTGCAGGGTCTTAAAATGTCTTAAATTTCAAAAGCAAAATTTTAGGCCATAAAAACTCTTCAATTCGCTGAAATATTGTGTTGTAGGTCCTAAAACTTTTTAAGCAGGTATTCAAGAGTTCCTACTTGGATATGCTTGGCATTAACAGCAGGTTTGGCATGCTTTCCCGGGAGGTACTCAGAGATAACTGAGCCCAAGGCTCTTGCCCGGTCAATAAGCAATTACAGTTGAAGTCAGAATTATTAGGCCCCCTGTATATTTTTTTCCCCATTTTCTGTTTAATAGAGAGATTTTTTCAGCACATTTCTAAACAATAGTTTTAATAACTCATTTCTAATAACTGATTTGTTTTATCTTTGCCATGATGGCAGCACATAATATTTTACTAGATATTTTTCAAGACACTTCTATACAGCTTAAAGTGACATTTAAAGGCTTAACTTGTTAAAAAATAGCTTAAAGGGGCTAATAATTTTGACCACAAAATGGTGTTAAAAAAATTATAAACAATTTTTAAAACCTTGACTTTTCCAAACCGCGGTAAACCTTGAAACTAGTTATCATTCAATCCCTACTGCAACGTAATGTTCATTTATTTGATGTTTAATATGCAACATTTTCTAAATGAATTGCATTTAAAACAAGCTAAATAATATATGCTATAGTACATAAATTTCTCATAAGTTTCTATAAAGATATTTTCATTTTGAGGGCTATGATGATATAAGGTGTAATAATTAATCACAGGCATGAGTAATTTAATGATGATGCTGAAATAAGAGAAGTAAATAGTTAAAACATCACACATTAAATGACTTTTTGCTTGTTCAAACTACTTATTTAAAATGAGTTGAAACAACACAATTCCTAAGGGTTTCTGGGACAATTTAATTGTTTTATGTTTAATTCACTTAAATTAATGACACTGGTTAACTTAATTTATTTGTGTTTGGACGACAAGAAGGAATTGTGTGGAACCCTGCTTTAGTGCTGATGAACGGAAGGCGTGGTTAACCCAGTTCTACAACGTTGAATGCTCGGCTGGCCTTACTCATTGGTTAATGTCCGAGTAACTTCGATGTTGCCTAATTAATATTGACGACCAAGCATTTTTATTGGATAACGTCAGAGCCTAATTCATATTCATTAGCGAACTCGCCGCCATTCAAAAGGTTACCAAGCATCTTCTGCGCGACTACATTAATATTCATGAAAATGGGCGTGTCAAAAGGACGGTTGCGTCCTAATCTTGAACAATCCGTGAGTTTAGCAGTGGAACAGCGGCTACTCTACAGACATGCGTCAGAGTGTAAACACTGCACGGTCTGTTCGATTATCAGCAAACCTGCTATAAATGGATATTTAAGCAGAAGATTTTTTTGTGCACATTAAACGGGAACCATGAGCACCGTGTTGTGCTGTGTTTTGGTGTTATTAATCTCAGTGGCTCTTTGCATGGACTTTGAAGAGAGACCCAGCAGCTCCTGGAGGAGTGAGCAAACCATGTTTCTAAAGAGTCACAAATCACGAAATCTGCTCAGTTTGAGAGATTTACAGCAGCCGGACCATGGCAAGATGAAAAGAAGTGAAGAATCCGCACAAAATCAATGTGAATCATTGCACGGCTATCAATCTACATTACAAAACGACACTCACACGGTAGGTCGAAACATTTCTTTCTCGTTATACCCACGATATTATTTAAAGGTAAATTTTGTATAATATATTTTAGGGGTAAAAGTTAAACTTTGTAAATTTTCTGGTGAAAACTTATTAGTTTAGTTATTAGTTTTTATTTTGTGATATTATGTTTCTGTCCTTTTTTGATTATAGCTAACAACAATGCAAGTGCATCAAAGTGCAATAGGCTGCAGTTTTAATATTATTTTATGAGTAACGTTAGTATCATGTATTACTACCAAGATTTACAGAAGACACCGACTAACATGCGTATGTAAAAGTATGTAAAAAGTTAATTGTTTAAAAAAGTTATGTCATATTAAAATAAACAATTTTAATGGACAGTTCAGCCCCAAACTACTACTACTACTACTACACACACACACACACACACACACACACACACACACACACACACACATATATATATATATATATATATATATATATATATATATATATATATATATTAGGGCTGCACGATATTGGAAAATATATATTGTTTTATATTGTTATATGAATATAATTTCACAAGATGACTATTTTGAAAAAAAACCTCACAATTTTACATTGATTGTAAGGGAGTGCATCTGCATAAAATATGCAAAATTATACATAACTACACAAAGTAATATAATTTAAAGCACAGATGAAAACAATAGAACAAAGTAAACAACACTTTATGGTTCTTGGCGGAGTCTAACAGTATAGAGATATAGAAATTGAATAATCAAATGTAAAATAACAATGTCTTCTTTTAATAAATATATAATTTATATATTTGTCTTTAATGTTTTGTAATTTCTATACTTTTTCTTTTATTTATAAACATATAAGCCCAAATCAATTGAATCTAATCGAATTGTTAAAGCACGTTATAATGTCTTGTGTCCAAATAGTTTAACCTGAGATCTCTTGAGATCCACTGATGTGACTATTTCAGATTCACTCATTGCGATATCGATGCTGAAATGATATATAGTGCAGCCCTAATATATATCCATAGTTTTTCTTGTTCTGTTTTGACTTGATATCTCTCTTGTTTTGTAAGTTTCTTAAGTCAAGCTTCATAAAAAGTATACTTTCTTTCCATCTTTCTTCAAAAAGTTGAATTTTTATACTTCTTTGGAAGTTCTTTCTACTTTCTGAGAACCATAATTCACAAAAATTAGATCATACACTGGCCTCAACTCTGAGATTACCTAATAATACACCGACATCACCTTTCTCAGCGAGTACATGTTATTTTTCCAGTTGTTTTCCAAACGCCACAGAACATTGGCACTCCAGCCATTCATGACTCCAATGGAATTTGAACATTTTCCAATTTTATAGTGGTCTTTGCATACAAAACTCCAATACAAAACAATGTGTGCACCGTTTTCCAGCTGTTTTACATCACATTATACCACGGTAGACTGTAGATTTTTTTTTTGTTTGATGTTCCTTTAAGGCATTCCACAGATTTCATCTTTATGCCAAAAGAACAAATGCATTTATCCTCATGATGTGTCTGTGTTCAGTTTCTCCTCCATTAATGTGGAGACGCCACACTGTCAGGTGATTCTGCTTAACCAGATCCATTCAGACTCATTCATTACTGTGGCCCATGACTGATTACCAACCCTTAAGAAGTCAGTAAACACACAGCCTCTCTCCATGTCTCTCTTATCTAACTCTCGCCCTCAAGCACATCAATTACATTTTACCAGCATTCGCCATGACCTCTCGCTGTGTGCAGGGATTATCGGTAAACGATAAGCCACATGTATGCCAATCTATATCTGTCATATCAGTCCTGTTCAATGAAAAGCATCCCCTATTTATCCTAATACACCACACACATGCACTGACATTTAAGGGAATCGGTCATGAGTTTAAACTTAGTGCTGATTGAGAAAGACTGTTGTTGTTGTTAAGAAAGCGAGCAGAGCCAGTTCTTTTATGGCCAGTGTTTTTGGCTCTCATCCTCCTACATTCCGTCCAGCATAAGTGACTGCCGAAGTGAAATGCTTCCTCCAAGAAAGACATGTTTCTGAAACAGGAAAAGACTTTGGGGCTTGACAGCAGTGGGAAAAGTATTTGAAGGCTGCGTCTTAAAAACATTGCCTTGTTGAATTGTTGAATTTACACACACAGTTCTAGTGCAATGATGGTTTATTGTTGCTTGTTGTTCATGGTGGTTTTCAGTTTCTTTATGCTTTCGGATTGTATTAGTGACTTTGGTGACAACTTTTGAATGTTGAAAAGATCAACAATGTTGATTTTATTGACATTTTTAGGGTTTAGAAATCATATATTAGCTGGGTTTTGCATTATGTAAATTTTGGTCCAAAAAAGATAATGACCTTGAAGAATTTTTTCTGTTAGTTATTTTTAAGTATATTATTTTTAACATACACTCACCGTCAACTTCATTAGGTACACCTTACTAGTACCAGGTTGGACCCCCTTTTGCCTTAAGAGCTGCCTTAATCCATCGTGACATAGATTCAACAAGTTACTGGAAATATTCTTCTGTGATTTTGGCCCATATTGACATGATGGCATCACGCAGTTGCACATCCATGATGCGAATTTCCCGTTCCACCACATCCCAAAACTGCTCTATTGGATTGAATTCTGGTAACTGTAGAGGCCATTTGAGGTACAGTGAACTCATTGTAATTTTCAAGAAACCAGTCTGAGATGATTCATGCTTTATGACATGGCGTGTTATCCTGCTGGAAGTAGCCATCAGAAGATGGGTACACAGTGGTCATAAAGGGATGGACATGGTCAGCAATCCGCTTGTTAAGTGGTGACGCATGTAATACTGTTTCCGGGTCCAAGCCGCCATTCATTTGAGTGGAGAAATCATTCGTTTATGATCACGTTTTATTCCTATCACACATTAAAGTTAATCTTATATAAAGTCATAGTGTACACAACAATCTCTGGGCTTGCTGCATAACAAATACCAAAAATTTAACAATTTATAAATAAATGAATCACTTTCTGGCCATCGGATATTAGGCATGGACATATATATTGCGATCGTGATTTTCGAAAGCCTTAAATCGCTTTGTAAACGTTTATTATTACCATTTCATGAGTCTCCCCATTCAGTTGAATAGAGAGCTTGGACCCAGAAGCCGCTTCGCGTGACGTCACACTTAACAAGGGCTGATATAAGTTTCTGACGGTATGATAATCTTGGATAAAAATATCACGGTATTGTGATTATTACTGCTGTAAAGTAATTACTTTTTAAGTGTCTTAGTAAAAAACAACAACTTTTTTCCCTATTTAATGCAGTATATTACATTTTAGGCAACATTTATAATATTTTGGAACAGTAAACATGTCAGGCTACAAAATTCAAATAAACCATTGACTTCTACTATCTTCATTAGCTTCAAAAACACATTTCCTTACAACACATGAAAAAACACTTAAAAAAGCTACATATACCTTAGAAACGGTATAGCAAAAATTATGCGGTTTTAATACCTTGATTTTTCCAAAACCGCAGTATACCTTGAAATCGGTTATTGTTCCATGCCTAGTCAGTAACAATACTCCGGTAGGCTGTGGCATTGACACGATGCTCAGTTGGAACTAATGGGCTCAGGGTGTGCCAAGAAAAATCCCCTACACCCCATTACACCACCACCAGCCTGACCCTACCCTCTAAATGTCACAGCATTAATTGAGACTCATCAGACCATGCAATGTTTCTCCAATCTTCTCTTGTCCGATTTTGGTGAACCTGTGTGAATTGTTGCCTCAGTTTCCTGTTCTTAGCCGATAGGAGGGCACTCTGTGTGGTCTTCTGCTGCTGTAGCCCATCTTCCTCAAGGTTTGACGTGTTGTGGGTTTAGAGATGCTCTTCTGCATCCCTCGGTTGTAACGTGTGGTTTTTTGAGTTACTGTTGCCTTTCTATCAGCTCGAACGAGTCTCTATCTGTGAAACGAATACACTAAACAATACTGGGTGATGCAGCATGACTTATTTTTGGCCAAAAATTTGGTGAATCTCTAATATCAACACAATTATAGATTTCTGTTGTTGGATATTTCTGCTGTGTGATTGTCACTTAGGATCAATGTCGAGTAAAAATGTCCAGAGTTTATCATCTTTGATTCGATATGATATCGTTATCGACCCAGCTCTAGAACAAACCACTGTTGTCTATACGGTTCTCAAAGTGGGGGTCGGGGAACAATGATAGGAAGTCGCTTGGTGATTTCCAAAAGTCAAATAAACTTTTAATAAACTATAAGAATTTCCATATTTTATCCCTAACCCGCGGAAGATAAAAATAGTAGTTAACATTAACATTAAAAAAGCAACAACATGCAAATAAAAATTCATCAACCTTTTAATTTATTTTCATAGGATTGGTGTGTTTCACGGCAATAGCGTCAGCTGCAGCAGATTGATTTTATAGCACCAGGTTAAACTTTCTGACACCTTTATGGCAATCAAATACATTAAAAATAAATACAGGCCACTACTAAATATTGAGGATGATCATGGTGGTGGTCTCCAAGAAGAAACCAGTAATAGACTTGTGCTGAATACATTTTGCCCACCAGTCTCATTAAGCAAGGTTAATATTGAATTAAACGAATTAACAATATCAGCTTGGAGGACTGCATCTATACACCTCTGCAATGACTCAAATAACATTTCAATTAAGTCACCTGGAATTGCATAGAAAGCATTCTTACAGGACTCCCAGAGTTCGTCAAGACTCTTTGGATTCATCTTCAATGCCTCCTCCTCCATCTTGCCCCAGACATGCTCAATAATGTTCATGTCTGGTGACTGGGTTGGCCACTCCTGGAGCACCTTGACCTTCTTTGCTTTCAGGAACTTTGATGTGGAGGCTGAAGTATGAGAAGGAGCGCTATCCAGCTAAAGAATTTGCCCTCTTCTGTGGTTTATAATGTAATGGCCAGCCCAATTTTCTTGATATCTCAGGCTGTTAATG